GGTTGGGCTGTGCCCAGGTGGCTGACGAGCCCCTTCCCTGCAGGTTCCCTCAGCTCCCGCTTCTCAGAGCCCGCTGCGGAGCAGGGCCCTGGGGCCGGCATCCCGGGCGCCCTGGTCCTCATCAGCATCGTGTGAGTAAGGTGCTGGGGGCTTTCCGTGGGGGTCGCCTGGGAGCGTCTGCAGGCGGGAGTGGGCAGGGGAGGCCTTTGGGGGAGTAGGCCCCCTGCGGTGTGGCACTGGATGAGCAGGGAGAGGCGGTCAAGGAAGTGGTGCCGTTCATACGTCGCGCTGTGTCCACATGCGGGTGACGGGGGACACAGGGCCTAACACCCGGGGAGACAGCCCTGGCCCTGCCAGAGTGAAGGGCAACACAGTCCAGGGGCCGGGCCTCGATGAGGGGGTACAGGCAGAGGGGCGGGATGGGTGTGGGGAGACTGGGAGACCAGTAAGAGCAGAGGCCTCCTGAGCTGGGCCCCCGAGGGCTTCGGCCTGAGGCCACAATGGCGAGGTGCTAGAGGCAGGACACCGGCAAGGAGATCTGCTTCCCGCAGAGCCTGGGGTGAGGGTCCCACCTCAAGCCCTGGGCCTCCCTGGGCCTCAGTTTCCCGGCGACGGCAGTGCCGGAGAGCGTGTGTCGTTCCTGCTTGGAGCTGCCGGGTCACCGGGGGCGGGGCTGGGCCAGGCGGGGCGGCTCTCACGGCTTTGTCTCTCCTCACTGCCTCCTCAGGATCTGCGTGAGGTAGGGTCTGCACCCCACGCCTCCCTCACCTCCTGGGGTCTCTCCCCCGCTGCAGTTCCTTCCCCCCACTCCCCGGCTGTCCCCGGGCGGTGGCCGGTATGGGGGTTCAGGGCAGAGGCACCAGACAGGCCTGGGCCCCCGGGCATGTCTCCTACCCTCTCGGAGCTTTCGTTTCCCCCTCTGGAAAGGCGGGTGATCGTGGTGCCCTTCAAGGTGGGTGCCAGACTCCTGACCTCTGCCTCCGCCCGCAGCCTCATCGTCCTCATCGCTCTCAACATCCTCCTCTTTTACCGCCTCTGGTCCCTGGAGCGGACGGCCCACACTTTTGAATCCTGGCACAGTCTGGCCCTGGCCAAGGGGTGAGTGGTGGCCTGAGGGGGTTGGGAGCTGGGGTCATTCAGGGGAGGCCCAGGCGCCACTCAGGCCCCACCTCCCCCACAGCAAGCTCCCCCAGACGGCCACCGAATGGGCGGAGATCCTGGCGCTGCAGAAACAGTTCCACAGCGTGGAAGTGCACAAGTGGCGGCAGATCCTGCGGGCTTCCGTGGAGCTGCTTGACGAGGTACAGCTGCCAGTAAGCTCCCAGCGTGCAGCACACAGCTGGGCCTCCACTTCCCCTCTGTAAGATGAGGAAGACATTATCTTCCTTCCAGGGTTGCTAGAGAAATCAGCCGAGTGGAAGAAAATGTCTTGGCTGTCATTCTGGGGGGAAAGCACTCAGGCATCGGACAGCTTCAGGCACGGCTGGATCCAGCTGCTCAGCAGTAGTAAGAATTGGTCTCTAGCACTGTCTCAGCTCTGCACCCCTCAGTGCTGGTCTTGTTTTAGAGCCATCCTCTGCCCCAGCAGGAGCAAGGTGGCACCTGAAGCTCTTGGCTGACATTCAAAGCAAAGAACTCATTCTAACTGGCGGCAGGGTCACATGCCCATCCCTGAACCTGTCCCTGTGGCCAGGGTAGGCAAGCCTTGGTTCCTGCAGCCTCTCCCGTCTGCAGTGGTGAAGGGGTGACATGGCCTGAGGGTAGGTAGGAGGTTCTCCAAAGGATATTGGGGTCTCTTCTCCAGAAGAGGGTTGCCCCAGATCCCCCCTGTATTCACGTGGAGCATCTCCTTAGACGATCCAAATTCTGGTGAGTGATCCTGGGCTGACCTTGGCTTTCTCCTCTGTGAATGCAGTCATGATTAGGGTTGCCTCAAAGACTGTCGTGAGGACTGAGTTGCCAGTTGAAGAGCACCAGGCTGTTGTAAGCGTGCTGGGGAGATGGTGCTCTCTCTGTTGGCCAAGGGCGCTTGAGCTGACTTGGTGAGTCGGGCTCACGGCACGCGGAGCCCGGCGGCGGCGGTTTGAAGCACAAAGCCTGTGGGTTTGTGCTTCATAGTCGGCCTATGAGGGGGTCTGATTGCACCCCACCTGATAGATGGGCACCTGGGTTCGAGGAGCCCAAAGCCCCCAGCAGCGAGTTAGGGCAGCCAAGGTGCTTCCTGCCTGCTGGGGCCTAGGCTGCACCCCCAGTTCCCCGAAATAACCCTGCCAAGCAGGCCTGGCACTGACCCACGCCACTGAGGGCGTCAGGGAGCTGCCTCAGCAGAGCCAGGGCTGGCCCAGGCCCCCGGGTGCCCCACCGCCTGTGAGATGGTGAACTGGGTGCGGGTGGCTCCGCCCCGTCACAGGGGCCCTGGTGCGTGCTGTGACCTCTTGCAGTGGGGGGCCACGCCAGCCCCCAGCACTCACCTGCCCTGCCCGCCTCTCCCCCCAGATGAAGTTCTCGCTGGAGAAGCTGCATCAGGGCATCGCTGTCTCAGACCCTCCCTTCGACTCTCAGCCACGACCCGACGACAGCTTCTCCTGAGGACGCCTACCCGCACGGCCGTCCCCCGAGATGGACAGATGGACACAGAGCCTCGGCGGCCACTGCTGGCACGGTGTGAGCGCCGGGAGGCCCTGACACCCCTCGCAGGGGCCCTCGTGGGGCCACGCGGACCTGGGGACCACAACCACATGCACTTTAGACCAGCGTGCGCAAGGGAGCTGGCCTGGCCGTCAGCAGGCCCCGCTAACTTATTTTGCCCAGCTGGGGCTGTGGGGGTGCCTCCTGGGGTGCACGATCCCCTCAGCTCTGGGTTTAATGTATTATATTTATTTGGGGCAGAGAGAACCCCAATAAAGTGTTGGAAATGACTGTGACTGTGCCTGCAGGGCCCTGGGAGCAGGGTGGGGGGACCCTTGGTGGCAGGGAGGGGATCTGTCCTTTTCCTGGGGCCGTGCTCACTGAGGCTGCTGGGGCTCCCCAACACTCTCCACAAGCCTTACATCAGCAGGGCCCGGTGGGGCCTCTGGGGGCTCAGGTCCTTCCCCAACATTTTGTAGTCATAAACCTGGTCTCCCCTCTGAACCCCAGTTTTCTCTATAGCCCGGGCAAGAGTAGCACCTGCCTCCCGGGGTTGTTAAAAATGAGTCGTTCTCAGACGCAAGCTGCGTCAGGAGCACCCAGCCTGGCCCAGGCCCTGTGTCAAAACCGGGGTTCATGTAATTCTCTGAGTGTCTCCTGAGATGGAGGTAGAGGCAGCAGGGAGGCGCGGCCCGCGGCCCTTGTGGCTTGTATTTCTCCGCCAGGGCTGGCCCTCAGGCCCCATGGCAGGCCTTTCCGCCTGGAGGCCACCTGGGGGCTGCAGTTACAGCCGAGGAAACCAGCTAGAGGCACAGCCTGCCACCCAGGAAGAACCAGACCTGCCTCGCTCAGCCTTGTGCCGGCTCCAGGGCGAGTGAGGGTGGAGAGAAAGCTTTGCCATACCACAGCTACCGCAGCCCGGCTGTGAGAATCTTCACAGAGTTACCACCAGCCTCAGTCTTCCACGCCGCTAAAATGGGCGTGGCCATAACATGCTGCAGTTCACGTGGATCGAGGGCCCTTCCCCCACCAGGCCCACAGCAGGCACTCAGCGGACACCAGCTTATGGCTGTGTCAGCATCTGCTGCCCAGGCCCGTGCCTGTCCTCAGCGCCCCCATCTGCCACCCCGGCCAGAGGGGCGCCTTGCAACGGCAACAGGGTTATTTTCTGCAGGGGAATTTCACAGCCCAGGAGGTGCTGGCGCAGAAGCCCAGACCACAAAGGTGTCCGGTGTCCCTGCTTCCTGTCCCTCTGCCCCGGATCTGCCTACATCCTGGTTCCTCTTGCCTGGAAGAGCTGAGCCATAGGGATTCTGGGACTCCACCCAGAACTGGTGGCTTGGCTCTGAGCAGGGGCCCCCCTTCCCCTCCAGCCAAAAGGCCCACTCAGACCCTGGTCCTGGCAGCCCAACCCCCCAGCCGCCTGCCTCTCCTTGTGGCAGGACTCCAGACCCACTGCAGACCCCAGGCGGGGGTGACTGGCTCACCTGTTCCCTTGTCTCTAAAATGGGGATAATAATAGAAGTTGCTGCAAATGTTTGGGGAGCTGGAAGTGAATTCCGCTCTGTGGAGGCTGCACGGGCATGTGGTTTTTTTTGAGCGATGGAATAGCTGCACCTTGTGAGGTGTAGTTCAAGGTGTTGGAGACAGTGGTGTACAGGCCAGTGTCCTCTCCCCGGAGAGCTTATATTCCAGGGTTGGGGGACGGGCAGCAAATGAAGAAACTATATAAAGGAAGAGTCTAACGTCAGGTAGTGACAACTGCTATGGAAAAAAATTCCCAACTGAGTAAAGGAGGCCAACTAAGGAGGGGGGAGGTAGACATCTTTCCCTGAATGGACAGACCTGATGAAGGTGACATTGGGGCCGAGAGCTGCTGGAGGTGAGAAAGTCGACCCTTGGCCATCTGGGGGGAGAATGGCCCAGACTGAAGAGCCAGGCCGAGGCCCTGGGGCAGCAAAAAGCCTGATAACATTGGGAGCAGCAGGGCACTGGGTGGCCAGATTGGAGGGGGAGGAGAGGAGAACATGACAGCAGAGACAAAGAGGGGAAGGGGTCACCTCCTGAAACGGGGCGTCCCCAACCCCCAAGAGCAACCTCTGGGGTTTGGAACCAGGGCGCAGGGTGGGGTCTGGAGTATTAGGGGAGTCCTAGCCCTCACCCCATGCCCACCTGGCTTTCAGCACAGTGACCTCCAGGCCTCCGACGCCCCGGGGAGCTGAAGGCCGTTACCTGGGAGTCCCACCCAAGTGTCCCAGGCCCCAGGGGGATGACCTCCGCAATTCCGAGTCGGAAGTCCTGCCCCAAGCCGCCCTCTTAAGTCCTCTGGGGACTCT